TTGAGAGCCTCTATAGTTGAGATCAGTTTCTTTATTTCTGATTTTGACGCCGAGATCGCTATTACACAGTTCATGCTTACTGATTCTAATGAAGTATATTGACAGCTTCAGAATTAATTAGTCATATGACTTTTTTGAAACTCACAAAACTTATTGGCGGTCCAGCCACTATGTGGTTTTGGGTACTGATCTGTACCATTGTGGTTTCATTGTTGCTCGGTTTCAATTTGCGAATTGATTTCTGATCACTGTTGTATGGGCAAAATATTTCTATGCTGTGAATTACGAGATGCACAATAATAACAGTATTTAAGACAAATTTATTAAATAAGTTTGCAATTGATATTAGGCATTTGTTTATTATAGTGTACATAGTGCACCAAAGAGCCACTGTCATGCTGACCGAGGGTGAACGAGAATGATCTCGATTGTATTTATAGAGAGATTAATGTTTCAAAATCTGACAGGCTCTTTGAAATAATGTGTGGACTGCATCGAACAGCATTTGCCTTGTATACGAAAAGTGATATATAACTCGGTTCCACCAACGTCTGATGGCCGCAGACCATCCTTTAAATATCATTAATCCATACTGGATTATTCCATGATTTACCCAAAACCTTTATGTTGATGATGATTTATGATGTTTGTTGATGATGGTATATCATCATATTGCAGGATGTATACAATTAAAACGGTAATTGTCTTTGTAATTACGAGCTGTCATTGACACTATACAAGCCTTATGCTATACTGTTAAAATATTCTCAAAGAATATATATTCTGTATAGAAGATTATATTTACTTACAGTGTTGTTAGATCGTTAGATATTCCATCGAATGCATCATATTTGATCGTTGTCATCTGATATGGAGCTTTTTGTGAATGTAAAACCCTAGATAAAAAAAATGAAATATGGAACAAACGACATTAGAACATTCACTTAGTGCTTCAAAGTGGCCTGTTTCACAAAACATATAAGTACATCCTCAATATTGCCAATTAAATATACATACTTACAATGTTTGCAATATTGGCATCGTGCTGAACGACCTACTGGTAAGTACTTTAATGTAATTGTGGTTCAAATCTCTGTCAAGAAATGAGACATAATTACGGCACAATCACGACTTTTGAATATTCCTGGATAGTTTCAAAGGAATGTAAATTCTTCTCACATTCTCACATCTATAATATAGCATTGGTTGACAATTGGCGATACTCTTTGTTCATTATTTGCAGAAGCCCCCCCCCCCGCCTCAGATATGTGCAAAATGTATACGAATATATCAGTTTAGCCCAAATTAAACTTGTTGAATTTATAATTAGAAATAGAAAGACTAGAAAAATTTTAGAACTGGAATGTAATGTAACAAATAATAATTTTTTGTATACATACAAATGTAGTAGTTTGGGCATGTCATAGAATGTCCTCCACGGTGTACTTCTTAATTCATTGTCATGTAATTCCCTATTGATAAAAAAATGTTTACAATGTTTTTGTTCACCTAGGAATATCCATGTTTAAAATCCAAGAAAGTGATATCATAACACTGGTGTGAATTTTAAATACAACAATGGATAGCACTTACAGAATTGCCAGATTACGCAGCTGACTCAAGGCATTGATCGAAATGTAGTTGATGACATTGTTACTCACATTCCTGTAAAAACGAGAAACCAGTCCAGTTTAATTATAACACGAGTATTAGATTTCTTAAGGTCAATATATCGAGGAACTGGCGCAAGCATTTATTGTTGGTTTGTGACAAATGTCGAGGTCGAGATTTACAATTACAAACAAATTCATACTGCACATACACGCAAAGTTCAGATAAGTGATTGGTAACTTACAAGTGTTGGAATGTTGGACTGGTAAGTACGGCAAGATTTGTTTTAGTTATCCTTTTAATCTTGTTGCCATCCAAGGATCTAAAATTAGGATAATGTAACTTTTATTTCAGATATTCCCCAAATACTAGGGAGTGAAATGTTGCAGTCATCTTGAAAGCGTACTTCCAGGTAAAAGTAATAGATAATTTCCCTTACTTGAGATATGCAAATAAGGTAATAATGTAAATTTAAAAGTTGAATGTGTGTGACTACATT